ATATATATATATATATATATATATATATATATATATATATCCTAAAATAACTTAATTTCATATTTATAAAGCAAATAATCAGTTCATTAGTGAGCACTGGACTATGACATTATGTGGTATTACTATTGATTGGCCATATGTGACTACAAGTTGGCAAGCAGAAAAAGGTGATTAAATATATAGATATAAAAAGGAAGAGTTTTAATTACATCATACATAGTTTTCATCATTTCAGCATCAGTGTGACTAGGTACGGACACCTGTGTATATAACAATATGAAGAGAAAATAATTGTTTAATCGATTAATTAAAATTTTTTTCACTGGAGCAAATATATGAGTCACTGTGACTCATAGTTGTAGCTGAATGTAGATTGTAATATAGAGCTTCTGAAAAATGAACAACCTGCAGAAAACCTCCAGCTTCTCTTTGAGTCCATTTATATTAAGCAAGACTGATTTTTTCCCATGAGGATGGAAAACAGTTTCGTATTCATTGCATAAATTTGCAGCTGAATAGACTTCTTCTCCTGCCTGCTGTTTATCTACAGGCAGGAGTTATTTTTTTCCCCTCTTCTATTAGAGTGGAAGCAGAACATAATGCAGGGGAGGGGAAAGGACTGATTACATAGAAAGAGATATTTGTCAGCAAAAGTGAAGCCATTATGGATCTCTAGTAGTTCACTTTATTGTCATTGCACCTCGTACATCGAAATTAAATGCCTTCTAAAATATCTGATATGACATGACATCAAATGTTGCATTAAAGTCAATGCTATTATTGCAGTCTTAACATAATTACATGATGTGAGAATCAAATCAGAGTTGCCAAATACAGTTTCATTTCATCTAGAAATACACTATTTGTAAATCAACACTATTCTGTGTAGATAAAGATATGAACATAATGTTTCTCTAATAATTCTTAAAAATTGAGTGATAGAAATCAAAGGTTAGGGTAAGGTTGAATTTTATCATCATTACTTTTATATAAAATCCAAATGATGAGTCATTTTGGCAGAATGAAAGTTGTTAATATTTGACAGTCTCAGTGTCAGAGATTTCATGGACTGTCAAAATATGGGCAAACAAGTTCTTGGGGCAGAGAAAAAGAAGTATTGACATTCCCAAGACACTTCGTAGAGTTTCATTCCTTTTGACACCTTCCTTCTGTACTAGATTCAAAATAAAGGATGTTTGGCAGGAAGATAAGATAGCTGGAAGGCAAAGCTTACCTATCTTTAAAAAAAAAAACCTAAGGAAACTCCGAATCAATATTTTCTTTTGCTGAAGTTTTTGCATTGAGCTTGTGTCATTTGCTTGCTCTGTAAATAGCTAAATAAAGTAAACTGTTTCCCAATTATAAAGAAAAAATAGATTGCAATTATTTTAATAAGCATATAAATAAAATATTTCCTACTTGATGAAAAAATGCTTCCATTAGTTTAGGAAAGTGTGATGTATTTTCTATGCTTTATCTACTCTTTTGCAGAAGAACTATTTCCATATTATACTATCAGATATTATATTATACTATAATGATTTATACTATATTTTTTAAATCCTTTTTTATTTTATTCAAAACATTAAAATGCAAACTCCCCCAAAAAGGGGGGAAAAAACAAAACAAGGCTAAACCAGACTACACCAAAGAAAAGGTGCATAAATGAAACAAACATATACAGTGGAACCTCAGGTCACGATTATAATCCATTCCAGAACTTTGGTCGCAACCCAATTTGGTTGTGACTAGAAGCAAGATGGATTGTGCATGCGGGTACAAAAAAATTGGCATGGAAGGTGAAATTGCCGCTGCATGGAAAATTGTTGTGGCTGTGTTTGATCTCCACCTGAGGATGTTTTTATGACCAGAGTGAAACATTTAGCGTATTTTTTGGTCGGCACCCAATTTGGTCATGGTCAGAAGCATTTGTGACCCAAGTTTCTATTGTACATAAGTTGCCCTTCCTAGTTGAATACTGATAATTATATTTCCAAGATACAAGATCTGTGATACAAATATATTGCTGAGTGCATAGCATGGGTTTTGGAGTGCTGGTTGGGAAGTTCAGTTTTGCTGATGATTTTGAAGGAGTTGACCACTTTCTTTCTGGGAATGCTTGGAATTCCTTTTTGTTGTTTTTGTCTTCTGTTTTACTCTTTTTCCTTCTTCTCTCAACAATCATTTCTTGTCTTTTCATTTTTCTTCACATTCCTCATTCAGATTCAGATTCAGATTTAATTTATTTGTATGCCGCCCTTCTCCCGGAGGGACTCGGGGCGGCGAACAACTCAAAAGGGGAAAGGGGATACAAACACAATACATATAATTAAAATACACAAGAGTCATACGGCCATACAAGTCGAGAGGGGAGGGGAACTCATCAACCCCAGGCCTGCCGGCACAGCCAGGTTTTGACAGCTTTCCGGAAGGCCTGGAGAGGGGTGAGGGTCCAAATCTCCGCGGGGAGTTCATTCCAAAGGGCCGGAGCTGCAACAGAGAAGGCCCTCCCCCGGGTAGTAGCCAGATGGCATTGGCTGGTAGATGGAACCCGGAGGAGGCCGACCCTGTGCGATCTAACGGGTCTGTGGGAGGTAATTGGCAGAAGGCGGTCTCTCAAGTACCCAGGTCCAATACCATGAAGGGCTCATGCCACTCTTGTAGTATCCTGAAACTTTGCTTGACATCCTTAATGTCTTTTCCTATACACTACTTTTAACTATAATAGTTCTCAACTTAAAACCAGTCCTTTAATAACCATTCAAAGTTTCAAGAAATGCCAGAAAAGCTACTTACAACCTGGGTTCGGAGTCCCAATAGCCAGTACACTGCCCGTCACATGATCACATTTTGGGCACTTGGCAACCAGCCTTAATTTATAGTCATTTGCATCATTTCTGGGTCACATGACCATGATCAATGACATTTTCCCCAGAAACCAGAATTTACTTCCAGTTTCCATTAAAAAAAAAAAAACCTCCCACAGCAAACAATCTGCTCAATGAATGACTGCACCATTCACTTTACAACCACCCCAAAAAAGATAATAAAAATGAGATGGCCCACCGAAAGATCATCATGATTTAGAACTATAATTCTATACTCAATTACACTCATAAGTGGAGGAGGTATCTATAATTTGGTCCTCAAAAGTCTGCTTAATCTAATTATGATTGTGAAGCAGAAACAAAGTTTAATGATGAAATGATGAAATGATGAAATGATGAACGTGAGAGACTCTTGTTCCAGATAAAATGTTCTTCCTTGTCTTCCGTTTCCCACAGGTTGTTCTCTTTTCCTATTGCAATTTACTATTCCTTTCCCTGATGATATTTCAACTATATAAAGAGGCTTCAGCTATTCTAATTCCTTAACGACATTCCCAACATTCAGCAATAAGGCTGTTTTGCATACATCATGAAAAAAAAGAAGAGTACATTTAAATTCTGCCTGCCAAATGATAGTTATTGTAATATATACCAAATCCATATGTGCTCACATTACTTCTGCTGCAATAAAAATATGTCTTGCAAAGTCCTGAACACAGCTGTTATATGGCCCATATACTAAGTGAAACTAAAAATTCCATAGCTGACATTCCTAAAGATTTATTTCAGATCCCTCTTATGTTACACGCAACTTCAGTTCAAAGCAAGGATTGTGAGAGTGAAGTCACAACAGTAGGTAGTTATTTTCAATGTATGAGTTAAAGTTTCTTTCTAATGGTTTAGCGCTCCATGAACTTTCAGCTAAATTTCCATCTATCTAAAAATGCTAGTTGGAGAGGGAGCTGTGTTATTACAGCCTCTCCTAAGATTTCCTTGTTTTAATGGGATATTGAAAAGCCAAGTCAGTGATTAAATAGTGTGTTTGTGATATGGTCTGGCATATAGATTTGGGTTACATAAATACAGCTCTTTCACCTCGGGAAATCAAATGTATATGTTTAAGTCAGCAAGATACCTTAGAATGATTACAATACCAACATACCATAGAACATTTTATTGGCCTACTTGGAGGTATTGCATTCAGTGATGTTTGAAGGAAAATTTGAAAAGGCATGATACGATGAGCATTATTTCGCTTGCAACACAGGAAACATGAAAACAATGGCTCATAAATTGTTATATGGTAATTTCTATAAAAACATCCTCCCTCATTATTTATTGAAAGTCCTAAAGGATTATTCAGGAAGCTCAAGTACATTTTTATGTAAATTATCTGTTATCAGATGCATATTGCACAGTTATAACAAAGTTGAAAACTTTTGTCAAAGTGCAAGTAAGGTTCAATAAAGGATTATTTTATTTAACCAAGCAATAAACAAAATGAGAATGGACCTTAAATTCATTGACAGTATAGTGTAGCCTTTGTCATTGTACATCATGTATACAATGAAATTGGTTAAATTTGTGCTAAATTCTGCCTATGTGTATTTTTACATATATTTCTGATAAGTGGCCAAATTAGAATAGCATACAGCTATTGTTATAAACTTTGTTGTTCCCATACAGTGCGCTTCTACAATAAGAAGCCACTCATTCATTTTATGTATATATGTATGTATGTATGTATGTATGTATGTATATGTGTGTATATATGTGTGTGTGTGTGTGTGTGTGTGTGTGTGTGTGTGTATATATATATATATATATATATGTATGTATGTATGTATGTATGTATGTATGTATGTATGTATGTATGTATGTATGTATATATATATATA